TGTTGGGTTTTTTTATGTTTAGTTTTAATTTGCTGTAGGCAAGAATACATGAAATTTACCACCACCAGTTGAAATCCATTCCGACTCATGCATGTACTCCATAAAGTTTTCAGTGGCCAAATTTTCAGAGGTCGATTACCAGGCGTTTCTTTGAATGCACGTCTATGGGTGGATCTCCAGCCTTTAGCAGCCAAGCACATTAACCATTCAGACCACCCAGGAACTCCAAATGTAACCTGTGTTGGTGGTAGTGTGGTTAGGTGCTGTTGAGTTGGTTCCAACTCATAATGACCCTTTGCACAACAGAAGGAAACACTGCCCTGTCTTGTGCCATCCTCACAATTGTTGCTGTGTTTGAGCCTATTACTGCAGCCAGTAATGATCTCATTGAGGGTCTTCCTTGTTTTTCCTGACCCTTTGTTTTACCAAGTAAGGTGCTCTGGTGACACAGTGCCTAAGACATTGCCTACTAACCAGAGGCTTGGTGGTTCAAATCTACCAGCTGCTCTGCAGAAGGAAGATGGAGCATTTTATTTCTGTAAAAATTCACTGCCTCAGACACCCAATGGGGGTCACTATGAGTTGAAATCGATTCAGTGGCAGTGAGTTTGTTTTTTGGTTTATTTTACCAAGCATCATGTCCTTCTCCAGGGACTGGTACCTCCTGATAACATTCCTAAAGTACAGGAGACTTAAGTCTCACCATCCTCACTTATAAGAAGCATTCTGGCTGTCCTCCCAAGGTAGATTTGTTCTTCTAGCAGTCCCTGGTATATTATTCTTTGCCATCACCACATTCAAAGGGATCACCTTTTCTTAGGTCTTCCCTATTCATTGTCCAGCTTTCACATGCATGAGGCAATTAAAAATACCATGGCTTGAGTCAGGTACACTTCAATCCTCAAAGTGACATCTTTGCTCTTTAACACTTTTCATGAGGTCTTTTGCAACAGAATTACCCAGTGCATTATGTCTTCTGACTGCTGTTTCCATGGGTATTGACTATAGATCCAAATAAAATGAAATCCTTGACAACTTCAGTTTTTTCTCTGTTTACTCTGATGTTGCTTACTGGTCCAGTTGTGAGGACTTTTGTTTTTTTTATGTTGAGGTGTAATCCATACTGAATACTGTAGCCTTTGATTTTCATCAGTAAGTGCTTCAAGTTCTCCTCACTTTCAGCAAACAAGGTCATTTCATCTGCATACTGCAGGTTGTTAATGAGTCTTCATCTAATCTTGATACTGCATTTTTCTTCATGTGTCATCTTGAATTATTTGCTCAGCTTACAGATTGAGTAAGTATGGTGAAAAGATACAAAACCTGATGCAAACCTTTCCTGGTTTTAAACCACACAGTATCCCCTTGTTCAAATGACTGCCTCTTTTTCTGCTTACAAGTAACCTGTATATATGTAATCTATTGTCCGTTCGTTTTAATAACTATAAGATATTAAATTACTAAACTGTTAAAAGTACTTAAATGGAACATCTAACTTGTATTTCTTTTAGAAAATGTATTACAAATTCTTTAACTCAGGTTATTTCTGTGCTCAATTCCCACAACTCATCCCCTGCACAACCCCTTCCTCTGTCCAACCTTGAGTATTCTTTTTACTCTTTGTCACTCTGAATGTGGGCACCTCGTTGTTTTATGTGCTGCTTATTTGTGGCATTTGAGCATTTTATTTCAAATGTTTACTAACAATTTTTACATTTGTGTATTGCCTGTCTGTGTCCCTAGTAAATGCTTTCATTTTTTTTCTTAATTTATAAGGCTCCTTTTATATATCAAAACTATTATTTTTTCATATATATTAAAGGTAATTTTTGGTTTTTTTCTTCCTCACCAGTCTGTAAACACCATGAGAACAGGAGTCATGTCTCTTTTATATAGTTTTATGTCTTTGTCATAAAATAGTTCCTCAATAAATAATTGTCAAATTCATTTAATGTTTTAATTCATCTAGAATTTAGATATAAGAAATGACATATGTAATACTTCTTTCCAAATAGTTCAGCAATTTTCCCAAAAATGTTTCTTGAATAATTCACACAGACACTTCAGATACAGAGAGAGTCTGTCTGTCTCTCCGATTTGGTATTTTTACCATATAAAAAAATTTCTTACAGATATTTACATTTCTCTAGGTTTCCTAATCCATTTTATTGTTCTCTTTCTCTATTCTGATATTTGTATCCACATCATATATTAATAAGCAATGGAGCAAATTCTCCATATTTTACTTTTTTTAAAATTGCTTTGGGTGTTCTCACACATTCACTCTTACAGATAAGCTTTGCTATCTCAGTGGTCCTAAATACCCCATTGGAATTTCATATTTTGATTATCTTGAAACAAAGTGTTAAAACATACAGTCTTCACATCCAAGAACATGGTATATCTTTTCACTCATGTTTGTTTTCCTTAGTTTTTCTATTTAGGGCCATAGTGTTTCATTTGTTAACTTTAGTGCTACTTTTCCTTTTAATTTCTGTAGCTAGTTTGGTCTTGTAACTAAAAATTCAGTTTCTGGTTTGTTTTTTTTTTTAAAGCTTTCGTCAGGAGTGATAAACCCAAACTATTCAGAGGGCTACAAATCAAGGTATGGTTGATTTTAATGAAATCTTTTTATTCCAATGTTAGTTTCTTATTTCTTTTCTTTTATTAAAATAAGTGAATTTTTAAATAAATAAATTTTTTAAAAGAGTTTTTGTAGGTAGCCTGATCAGAAATATTTAAGTAGTAACATAATTATTAATTTATTAGTTCATAGTTCTACAGTTTGTGGTGGTGGTGGTTGTTGTTGTTGTTGTTGTTACATGCCATCAAGTTGGACCTGACTCATAGCAACCCCTCCTTGGGTTTCTAAGAAGGTATCACTACAGAGGTAGATTGCCCAACCTTCCTTCTGAGGAGTGGCTGGTGGGTTTGAACCACCAGCCTTCTGGTTAGCAGTCAAGTGCATTAGGCACAATGCTACCAGAGCTCCTGATCTATAGTTTAGGGGCATTTTTTCCAGAAAACACAGGTTATTTCTGTGCTCAGTGAGCATGATATTTTAATTATTTTTAAATTTTAGAACTTGTAATTTATTAGATAAAGTGACTCAAAACTGAATCTTGTATATTAATGTTGTTAGGTACCATCAGGTTGTCTCCTACTCACAGTGACCCTATGCACAGCAGATCAAAACACTGCCTCATCCTGATTATTAGTGTTAATAGTAAAGTATGTGTCTAGCATAAACCAAAACCAAACGCACTGCCATTGAGTCGGAGCTGACTTACAGCGACCCCTCCTTGAGTTTCCGAGGCAGTATCACTACGGAAGTAGATTGCCCATCCTTCCTTCCAAGGAGTGGCTGGCTGGTGGGTTAGAACCACCAGCCTTTCTAGTTAGCAGTTAAATGGTAGCAAAAAGTGATAAATTGACTTTTTGAATTGAGTCTCGGGGTTAATGAATTGAGTCTTGGGGTTAAATGTTTCCTAGAATTTACTTCAAGGCTAACATTGATAATTATCTTTTTATGTGTCTGAAACCCCAGTGCCAGGTGGTAAATCTTTACAGAAATAGATTGCCTAGTCTCCCTTCTGTGAAGTGGCTGGTGGTTTGAACCGCCATCCTTCTGGTTAACAGTCAGTGCCTTAGGCACTATACCCCCAGAGCTCTTTTAGTTATAAGATGTCTCTGAGGAAAAGCATACATATCCCCCAGCTTACATTTGTAAAACTCCACAAAGGGAATTGGGACTATACCAAGTGCTGTTGTACATCAGAGCTTGCCCCCATCTCTAGAGTTCACAACCCCAAAAAACCTAGAAGAATTGAAGCATAATTTCTGAAAGTTGTTGTAGGAGATCCCTGTATCTAGTTATCTAATTCTACTTAATTTAGAATTAAAGATTCAGTCTCTTAACAAATGGGGCCATATTTGTTTTCATATTTACCAAAGTTAGAGTTTCTCAGAGCTGTCGTGAGAAGTACTAGACCCAATTAGTGGGTCTAAAGTCTCAGTAATCCAGCCCAAATCAAGACTTATTACAGCAGAATCATCAGATCTCTTAAACTAAGGAAAATTTAACCCAAAGTGGAATCCCAAGTCTGATCAATTATTTGCATAGCTTATTTCAGCATTGTTCATTATATCATCATTCTCATCAATTAATTTTGAACTGGTGTGTTTCCTCCATTGGATTTTAAACTCATTTGAGAGTTTAAGAGTGTATGTATATATACGTGTGTGTGTGTGTGTGTGTGTGTGTAGGAGCTCTGGTGGCATGCCTAAGGCATTTGCTAATCAAAAGGCTCGGGGTTCAAACCCACCAGCCACTCCTTGGAAGGACAGTTGGGCAGTCTACTTCTGTAGAGATACTACCTCTGAAACCCAAGGAGCGGTCACTAAGAATCGGCTCTGACTGGTAATGAGTTTGGGTGGGTATTTTTTTGGTTTGTTTATTTATATATATATATGTATATAATAAATACCTGTTATATTCAGTAATAAACTTAAATTTCAGTTTAAATTTGCAGGGCTCAAAGCCAACAGGTTTTTTTTTTTTCTTTAGAAGTAAACTGTGATTTATTTATTTTTTTTAATTATTTGCAAAAATCCCATTCAGCTTTTTCCTAGAAGACTTCGTTGTTGTTGTTGTTGTTGTTTGCCGTTGAGTCGGCCCCGACTCATAGCGACCCCTCCTTAGGTTTCCGAGGCAGTATCACTACGGAAGTAGGATTGCCCAACCTTCCTTCCGAGGAGTGGCTGGTGGGTTTGAACCGCCAGCCTTCTGGTTAGCAGTCAAGTGCTTTAGCCACTATGCTATCAGAGCTCCCATAAAGATTACTGCTTATGACAGATTACTTCCTTATGACATACTAATTCTGATGTTATATTTGAAAGTGTTTTTTATTAGTTTAATCCAGCTGGACTGAATTGTTTTCAGCCTTGGTGAGAAGGTTCTTTAAGAGCAGAAAATAGTGATGCATCTCTCTTTTTTATAGTATGTTCGAGGTTCAGACCCTGTACTGAAGCTTTTGGATGACAATGGGAACATTGCTGAAGAACTGAGCATCCTCAAATGGAACACAGACAGCGTAGAAGAATTCTTGAGTGAAAAGTTGGAACGCGTATAAATCTTGTTTAAATTTCATCCTATCCTTTTGTTAATGTATCAGATGAAATATTGCAGTACCTAGGAAATAATTTAGTGTTTGCTTCCTTCCATTGATTAGTCTTTGTGAGGCATTGAACATCTAATTAGAAGTTAAAGTAGCAGCTCAGCCCATGATATCTAATGAGTTGGCAAGCTTAACAAACTTCATTTTTTATAAATTTCCAACCTCTTTAATTTGTTGATACCACTAACTGAATGCTTTGTAACAGACTTATGGTTAATTATGCAAATGATAGTTTGTGATAATTGGTCCAGTTTTACAAACAACAGATTTTTAAATTAGAGAGGTTAGTAAGGGAGATGATTACTATTCCTCATGTGCTATGTGCTCTTTGAAAGTAGTGTCAGAAAGCTATAAAGCAAGTAAGATATACTGAGCCTCAACAGATTGCCTGCTCCTCAGACGCTCTTGTATTTTTGTATTACCCAGCTTTCCTTTTAAAAGAAATGTCATTTATAGTTTATAATGAATGCAACACATAAAAACTTTGTAGCCTCATTATTGTGAAACAGAGTCAAGATACACAGTTAAGAGTGAATCATTCGCAAAGATTTGCATTAATGAAGACTACACAGAAAACCTTTTTAAGGATTTGTGTGGATCTGATATTTGGCAGATTTTTAAGAAGGAATTTAAAAAGGATCTCTTAAGACCAAAATGTAAATAAAAAATTTCAAAAATCATTCTGAATTTGAAATTCTTATTTATCTTCTCATGTTTAAGAATAACAGTTTTCTCAGTGCATTTTTATCATTTTCTTTTCATATGTGTTCTGGTTACCTAGTGCCACTCTGACAAGAATATACCACAAATGGGATGGCTTGAACAAACAGGAATTTATTCTCCTACAGTTTGGAGACTTTAAGTCTGAGTTCAAAGTGCCATGCTCTAGGGGCTGGGTGAAAGCCCCTCAACCGTGGGCTTCAGCTCTTCCTCCTGCTCCTGGCCCACCGAAGCTGGAGGCTTTTCTTCACTCAGCTGCTGGCTACTGAGGCTGACAAGCCCAAAGGTTGACAAGTAACAAAGGCACAGTCCCGATGTTACCAAACCACATGGCAGGCCATTAATTCAAGTCCATTAAAGGTCCCAAGGTCGGCAGAGCATGGCAGGCTGTTGAACAACAACACAGCTACATGCAGGGCTCATGCATGCCATAAGCTACAGACTGTTCCACAAGGGTTCTCCTTATATAAAGGAAGCAGACCACATCCCTAAAGCAGCTACTCAGCTGCTCACAGTAGATTCCACAATGGAGTTGATTACCAGTCTCATCATGGGAAATACTTCACCCAGCTGCTCAGCCACTCAACCAGACCCAGCCAAGTTGACACACAAACTTAACTACCACAATATATAAAAAACACGTCTTTCAATAATACAGAATTTTTTATGAACTATTAAAAATGGTGTTCCTTCTTTCTTTTATCCTTTATCTTGTCAAAGTGACTCCTTCATAAGAGATGGCTCACTAGATCAACATTCATTCAAATGTCTTCTAGGTCATTACCACTTCTTACTAACTTATCTAATTGCTGTAATATCCTACTCCATAAACTTGTTAGATGCTGTGGCGTCGTCTCCAACTCAGTGATCCTATGTACAACAGAACGAAACACCGCCAGTCCTGTGCCAGCTCCAAGATCCCTATTATACCTGAGCCCATCATTGTAGCCACTGTGTCAGTCCATCCTGTTGAGGGCCTTCCCCTCTTTCATTGACCTTCCACTTTATCAAGCATGATTATCTTTCTCCAGGAAATGGTCTCTTCTTACAATGTGACCAAAGTAGGTGAAATGAAGTTGGGCCACTCTCGCTTCCAAGGAGCATTCTGGCTGCACTTCTTCCAGGACAGATTTGGTAGTTCTTTTAGCAGTCCATGGTACTTTCAGGATTCTTCACCAGCACCATAACTCAAAAGTCTTGATTCTTCTTTGGTCTTCCTTATTCATTTTCCACTCTCACATCCATATGAGGCAATTGAAAATATCATGGCTTGTGTCAGGTGCACCTTAGTCCTCCAGGAGACTGGCATCTTTGCTCTTCAGCACTTGAAAGAGATCTTTTGCAGCCAATTTGTCCAATGCTATACATTGTCTGATATCTTGACTGCTGCTTCCATTGGTGTCAATTGTAGAACCAAGTAATATGAAGTCTTTGACAACTTCAATCTTTTCTCCATTTATCATGATGCTGCTTATAGGTCCAGTAATGAGGATTTTTGTTTTCTTTATATTGAGGTGTAATCCATACTGCAGACTGTAGTCTTCAGTCTTCATCAGTAAATGTTGCAAGTCATCCTCACTTTCAGCAAGCAAAATTGTATTGTCAATGTGTTGCATGTTGTTGATGAGTCTTCCTCCAGTCCTGATGCTACGTTCTTCGTATAATCCAGCCTCTTGGATTATTTGCTCAGCATAGAGATTGAATTGTGGTGAAAGGATAGAACCATGATGCACTTCCTTCTTGATTTTAAAGCATGCAGTACCCCTTATTCTCTTTGAACAACAATCTCCTTGTCTATTTACAGGTTCCTTATGAGCACAATTAAGTGTTCTGGAATTCCCAGTCTTCTTAATGCTATCCATAATCTTCAGTAAGATTTTACTTGCGTGCAATATTAATGATGTTGCTCTATAATTTACACATTCTGTGGGATCATCTTTCTTTGGAATGGCTACAAATAGGGATCTCTTCCAATCAGTTGGCCAGGTCGCTGTCTTCCAAATCTGGCATAGCCAAGTGAGTGCCTCCAGCACGGAATCCATTTGTTGAAACATCTCTGGGTATTCTGTCAATTCCTGGAGACTTGTTTTTCGTCACTTCCTTCAGTGCAGCTTTAACTTCTTCCTTCAGTACCATTGGTTCTTGATCATATGCCACTTCCTGAAATGGATGAACATTAACCAGTTCTTTTTGGTACAGTGACTCTATGCCATCCATCTTCTTTTGATGTTTCCTGCATCATTCAATATTTTGCCCATAGAATCTTTCAGTATTGCAACTCGAGGCTTAATTTTTTCTCCAGTTCTTTCAGCTTGAAAAGTGCTGAGTGTATTCTTCCCTTTTGGTTTTCTAACTCCAGGTCTTTGCACATTTCATTGTAGTAATTGACTTTGTCTTCTCTAGCTGCCCTTTGAAATCTTCTGTTTATCTCTTTTATCTTGTCATTTCTTCCAGTTGCTTTAGCTACTCTCCATTCAAGGGCAAGTTTTAGAGTCTTGTCTGACATCCATTTTGATCTTTTCTTCCTTTCCTGTCTTTTTAATCACCTTTTGCTTTCTTCATGGATGATTTTCTTGATGTCATCCCACAATTCCTCTGGTTTTTGGTCATTGGTGTTCAGTGCATCAAATCTATTTTTCAGATGTTCTCTAAATTCAGGAGGGATATATTCCAGGTAATGTTTTGGGTCTTGTGGACTTGTTTTATATTGTCTTCAACTTGAACTTGAACTTGCATATGAACAGTTGATAGTCTGTTCCACAATCAGCTCCTAACCTTGTTTTGTCTGAATATAATTGAGCTTTTCCATTGCCTCTTGCCAGAAATGTAGTCAATCCGATTCCTTTGCACTCCCATCTGGCTAGGTCCACATGTATAGCTGCTGTTTGTGTTGTTGAAAAAGGTATTTACAATGAATGAGTCGTTGTTCTTGGAAAATTCTAACCTGTCATCTCCAACATTATTTCTATCACCAAGGCCAAATTTTCCAACTACCAGTGGTTCTTTGTTTCCAACTTTTGCATTCCAGTCACCAGTGATAATCAGCACACCTTGATTGCACCTTCAGTCCATCTCAGACTGCAGAAGTTGGTAAAAATCTTCAATTTCCTCATCTTTGGCTTTGGTGGTTGGTGTGTAAATTTGAATAATGGTGGTATTAACTCGTTTTCCTTGTAGGTGTATGGATATTATCACTGACAGCATTGTATTTAAGAATAGATTTTGAAACATTCTTTGTGATGATGAATGCCACCCCATTCTTTTTCAGTTTGTCATTCCCACCATAGTAGATCATATAGTTGTCTGATTCACAATGGCCAAAACCAATCCATTTCAGCTCATTAATGCCTAGGATATCAATCTTCATGTGTTCCATTTCATTTTCAAGGAGACAGCTGCTCTTCATCACTTGAAAGAGGTCTTCTGCAGCCAATTTGCCCGATACAGTACATCTTCTGTCTTGACTGCTGCTTCCATTGGTGTTGATAGTGGAAACAAGTAACGTGAAATCTTTGACAACTTCAGTCTTTTCTCCATTTATCAAGATGCTGCTTATTGGTCCCGTTGTGAAGATTTTTGTTTTCTTTATGTTGAGATGTAATTCATACTGCAAACTGTAGTCTTTAATCTTCATCAGTAAGTGCTTCAAGTCACCCTCAATTTCAGCAAACAAAGTTGCGTCATCAGTGTATCACAGGTTGTTAACAAGTCTTCTTCCAATCTTGATGACATGCTCTTTATGTAGTCCAGCCTCTCAGATTATCTGCTCAGCATACAGATTGAATAAGTATGGTGAAAGGACACAACCCTGACGCACTCACTCCCTTCTTGATTTTACACCATACAGTGTCACCTTGTTCTACTAAAACAACAGCCTCTTGGTCTATATACAGATTCCACATGAGTACAATTAAGTGTTCTGGAATTCCAATTTTTCTCAATGTTATCCACAATTTGTTATGATCCACACAATCAAATGCTTTTGCATAGTTTATAAAACACAAGTAAACATCTTTCTGGTATTCTTTGCTTTGAGCCAAGATCCATCTGACATCACCAATGATATCCCTCATTCCACATCCTGCTCTGAATGCAGCTTGCGTTTCTGGAAGTTCTCTGTCAATATACTGCTGCAACCGTTTTTGAATTATCTTCAATAAGATTTTACTTGCATGTGCTATTAATGATATTGTTTGATAATTTCCACATTCTGTGGTGTTAGCCTTTCTTTGGAATGGGTATAAATATGGATCTTTTCCAGTCAATTGGCCAGATAGCTGTCTTCCAGATCTCTTGGCATAGCTGAGTGAGTGCCTCCAGCAGGGCATCTGTTTGCTGAAACATCTGAATGAGTAGTATTCTGTCAGTTCCTGGAACCTTGTTTTTCACCACTTCCTTCAGTGCAGCTTCTGCTTCTTCCCTCAGTATTATTGGTTCTTGATCATATGCCACCTTCTGAAACGGATGAATATTGACCAATTCTTTTTGGTAAACTTAGTCTTAGGATAAATTCTTATAATCTGAAAACTTTCCTAAACGTTGATTTTTAATTAAACCACCTTAATACAGGATATTTGAAAAGCTTTAAAGACAACTCTACCAGAGAATGTTTGTAATATACTTATTTTTAATAGAGATCAGTTACTAATCTTTACTAGTAGTTTGTGTTATGTAATATTTAAATTAAGTCTGTTTTTAAGGCCAGTAGAACAGGAAAAAAACTTGGGCAATTTGGCTAATAAAAACAAGATACTATGGGAAATCCTGGCCAACAGACTGTGGTCTGCTTTGGATTATCAATAATGGAGAAGGCCATCCATTTTGATAGTATACAGCATTGGTTAATGTGCCATTGATCCCTCGTGGCTGTTATTAGTTCAGGACAAGAGAAAAATGAGGTAAATCATGGGGAAAAAAAAAGTAGCAAAAGGGGAGTCTCCACAACAGACACAAAGATGAGAAAGAAGAGATGAAACTTCAGAATGGAGCTGCCATAGAAAAGTAACTAGAATGGCTTGCCAAGAAGAGCTA